ATCCATAGGCAAGAATTAAAACATCATACGAGAATAAGGAAAACAAATAAGCAAAAAGTGGATGTCATCAATGTGTAATTTTGTATCTTCACAATATGGCCTTTTCTTACCGGGAGTACTTACGGCTGTCCCACAGGATTCAAATCCTTCTTTTTTAATTGATGTCACAGTTCGAACAGATACTTAGTATAGTTAACTACCCGAAAATTGTTGTTATGCAGCGTGTGTTGAAGAACGCCCGAATTCTTTCCTTTGTCACATTTCTTAATAACGAGACGTATATTTTCCCTAGCTTAACTGTGTATTGTCCTTTACTACGAACAGAAGCCATACCGTTCCACCAAAAGTCACAAACCAAAATAAAATGAAAACGCTATACACTTGTGTTACGAACAAGAAACAAACAACATGTCACTCAATTATTGAGTTCATGTCTTCTCAGAACATGAAACTTTCTACATTAGATGACGTGATATTGAACCTCATACAATGTCAAAGCAGATATACTATTTACTCGACTGCTCGCGTAGGCGGCAAATTGCAAAACACGTCAATATGCTGAATACTTACACTATATACTTCGGCGAATTCTTTAGTTCTACTTCGTATGTACAACAGATGACAGTAATATTTAAATGTGGTTCATTAAAATTTTGGAAATATATTTATTTGTGCAATGTAATTAAATTTTCCTCACTATTCAAGAGATAATATTGTCAAATTGCCGCCTTGCAAAGGTGAGGGGTCAAAAATATTTATAGTGGCGCAAGAAATATTCAACAATTTCAGTTAACATTTATAACGTCCAGAATGTCAATAAGTAGTAAATGTACGATTATTTTTCTACTGTTTTATATAGTTCGGTTTTGGTGTCTACATTTCTTTGAACATCTATTTGTCTTTAGAGTTACGATATAAAATCGAACAACGTTTCTTAAAGGCCTTTCATCTCACACTGATCTAAAAGGTTCATTTATTAGAGAGCTTTGATGTATGATTAGTCTCGTGGATGCAGTGCATGTTAAATTGCAGGAAATGGGAGTCTTCTTGCCAACCAGGATTCTTGTTAAGCCATTCATAATCCTTGTTGAGCAAACCAATATCCTTGTTGAGCCACCTATAATCGTTTCAGAGCTAACCATGATCCATGTCGAGCCAACAATAAGCCTCGTTTAGAACACCAATTAATCCTTGTAAAGCCATCCAATATTCTTGTTAAGCCAACCTCGATCCTCCTTTTTAAACCAACCAATACCCTTGTTGGCCAACCATGATCCATATGTGGAAGATCAACCAAGCAATCGATCAAGTAAAAGATCAACCCATCCAGTTGATCAAGTGAGAATCGACCCAGCACGTCGATCAAGCGTGGGATCGACCTAGCAAGTCAATGAAGTGGGTGATCGACCCAGCAGGTCGATCAAGCGGGTGATCGACCAAGCAAGTCGATAGAGCGAG